AGAGAGAATGAGGAAATGACAGGAAGGAGAGGAACATTTTGGCAGACCGACAGCCAACAGCAGCCCGGGCACTTGACAGAGCTCTCAAACACCGTGATTGTGTGCGTGCGTGAGTGTGTTTTGGTGTGTGTGTGTGAGCGTATGTGTTTGTGTGTTTTCTCCACTTGTGTATCATGACAGCTGAATGAAAATCAATCTGCTTCTACATCTGCCATCTTGAGTGTCGGGGAGCGCAGATGGGCCTTCCCTGTCACACTGAGCTAGCTTGGCAGCCGACCAACTCAGGTCTTTCCACTTCTTCTTTCCTCTCGTTTCCAATCCCATCCTCTTCTTCTCCTCCCTCCCTCTTCCTCCTCCTCCTCCTCTTCTTCCTCTTCGCCGGTCTCTTCTTCGCTAATCAGATGCCAGGCTCTGAAGAGGAGGTTTTTTCCTGGGTTGATGTCTCCAAGTCACTCTGACAGCAGATGTTTGGGGCCTTTTCGACGCCGCAATCTGGGCTCTAATCACCCTCATTGACGGCTCCGAGGGCCCCTGTTGCAGCGCTGAATGGCAAATTAAAGCGTTTTTAGATAACGTCGGTAATTGGCTAAATCGTTTATAAGCCCGGAGATCACACTTTTAATCTGCAGCCTAACATGACGGATCATGAAACTGAGGCAGATCCTGTTTGTGTGTGTGTGTGAGTGTGTGTGTGTGTGTGTGTGTGGGTGATTTGTGGCACGTTTCCTTGCCCCTCCAACCTCGATTTTTTGGTCCCTTTCCTGATGCGTTACAGTAAGTTTGATGCTTAATGATTTGCCCATCAGATTAACAAACGCTAATCGTTCTCGCGGCTGTAGTTTGTGTCCATGTCAGGCATCCCCTGCTATCCTCTCTCCTCGCTCTTCTTCATCTCCAGAGCCCATCTCATCTCTGGCATTAACTCCATTAGCCTGGTAATTGGCTCTTAAAGCAGCGGCCTCAGACTCCGAAGGCCACTTAATGTCCATCTCCTTCCCTCCCTTCTCCTCTCTGCTCCCCAGTCGATCATCTACCTTCCTCAGTAAATAGCATTAACTAGTCCCGCATAGAAATCTGAGGCCATATTAGTGTTATCCTCCCCTCTCAGCCTATTGCCAGGCTTATGAGTCCCGATCGTAGGAGATGATATGGCTAAGTGGATATTTTTTTTCTCACATCACTCCAAAATGGGGCTCCAAATAACCCCCCAACTGTCACAGATGAATATGTAAATTCCGCGTATGGAGATCTCCCTCCGTTTTTTAAACCGAGCCAGAGAAACTAAATCTGTATTTAAAAGATGTGGATGTGGAAATTCAGCTCATCATCACAGCCTGCCCCCCCTCACTGCCGGCCATGCTTTTCATTTCCACATAGAAGATGAAATAAAATGTGACACTATTTCTCTCTCTCTCTGCTGTGGAAATTCAGACTGTAAAATAGGCAAATAGGGAAATGGGTTTCCATTCATGATATTTCTGTGTTTTTTTTTTTTTTCTGAGTTTGAGGCTCAAAATGCCCAGTGGATCTGAAGTTTAGGACTCGTTTGTTTCATTTGGCTCAAGAGGTCAAGCTTTTTTTTAGGTTATTGTATTATTTAATTTGAGTCTACTGGAGCTATCCTGGTTAAATGGACATAAATATTTCCTAAAGATTCATTTCTAAAGTATTTCCTCACTTTTTGAAGGAAGTTCAGGAGGGAAAATAGAGTCGAAGTTTTAAAACTGACACTAAATGGAATACAGCTCCTTATACAGTCGTTCCAGGTGGACTGATGGGATAACCAAAAAGGCACAAAACTAATCATGGCAGCCTAGTATGTTACCAGTATGGTAATTGCAGTGGGACTAGTAGTACTTTATTTCAGTGTCTCAGGACCAAAAAAACCCGTTTCTATTAAAAAAAGTTATGGAGAAGATAATTAAGAGACTAAATAAATAAGAAATTTGAATCATTTATGTGTACTTTAAAGAAAATGTTTAGGCCAAAGCTTAATATTTGTTTTTTTTTAAGAGATTACAGTCTAGAAAATTTACAGCAGATGACCTATGCAGACTGAATTAGCTTTAAGTTGGTAAGAAAAAATACTTTTCTTTAACTAATGAGGTTTTAATAAAGCTGAGAGTTCACATAGTTGTAAATGTAACATCCATCCATGACTTTTGGCTCTTACTTTTTCACTCTCTGAGTTTATCATGATGCATCATTATGACTGAATAATTCCATTGTTTACTTTGTGCATTTTTTTTTGCTTTATTTAGAGGTTAGTCATTTTTCTTTATTTCTTTTTAGTGGTGGAGATAAATTACCTAAGTGTTGGGGGAGTAGTGTGCAGAATTTTGAGGGTTTTTTCAGGTCGGGTCTAGAGTTTTTAACGCACTTCTAACTCAGCAAATCCATGCTACACAAACTCAAAACTTCCATGAAAAACCCCGGACATTTAAAAGATTTTATAAACTCCCCTAGACAAGGCCAGACAGCCAGGAAAAAGAGGACTTGTCCGGGTAAAAGAGGACGTTCGGTCACCCTAACTTTTTGTGTATTGACCACTTAGATCCACCATTTACTTTTTGTCCTCACTGTTCTGCAGAGTGCTGATCTTATTTATCTCTGTTTGTTTGTACAGCACTGATGTGACCAGTAAACTTGAATAAGAGTATCACTGACTTCCCTAATGTGCCTCTGACATGAACTGTTAAAAAAAAAAACATGGACGATACAACCTCGACTAAAAGTAAAGCCCAAACTTTTTGGTGAGTGGCTCGATTGTGGGTCCTGTCAGTCCTTAAAGCCCGCCTCCTCCTTCCCTACAGATGAAACATCAACCAGAATATAAAATGTCAACATGTCATGCCTTCTGTCTGAGCCGTTCTGATCATCCTGGTCTAAATGTTCTTTTTTGTCGAACTTCAGTTTTGATTACTGACACGATGATTGATTGACAGCTCTGTGAACAGATGTGGGCGCTGCTGCAGCGTTCTTATCAGAGTATGATTTGATCACCAGTAAGTTAAATATGTGTTTTTGTCATAGGACGGGATGTCACATCACACCCACTGCTCCATCAGTGAGGCTGCGTTAGCTCTACTAGCATAACATATCACTGTTGTGTTTGGTTTCACTTTTTTACAATAGAAGAAGGTGGATGTGAGCCGTCCGTATTTACGCTCAGTCAGTGGTTATATACGAGTTCAGCCTCTTCTCTTTAGAAATATAGGCCTCGACTCGCTTTTCTCTCGGCAGCTTGTTGGTTATTGTTTAGATTCATGACTTTCCAACAGCATCAAGACGTCCGCACTGACAGGCCTGACAGCGACACAAGACTGAGAGACAAACAACCCCCGTCACTTACCTCATGTTCTGAACCGATTCTACCAGAAGAAACATTTCTCTTGTTGTTTACACTCTCTGATGATTCTCTAATCCTCGAATGTTTTTTTTTCTAAAGCCGCTCTATCTGTCGGTGTCTCATCTGAGGGATTTTCGAAACAGAGTAATTAGTTAGTGATAGAAGAGCTGTTGGTGTGAAATGATAGCTGCCGCCGCCCTCCACCCCCCAACCCATGAGAGAGACAAATCAATCAATAACCTGCTGATTTATTTCACGTCCTTATCGTCTAATTTAATTGCTGGCTTCTTTTGTATCTGTGGATTTGTGGGAGTGGAGGTGGTGGTGGTGTTGTGGGGGAGATAAATAAGAGGAGGATGGGGGGGGGGGTGTTGCAGAGTGAAAGACTGGAAGAGGTGGCAAGTTTTGTTTCTGTTCATGTTTTTTTCTTTCATGCGTGGTGGAGTACTTTTTTTTTTTTGTTAGGAGGAGGCGTTTCGGGACACAGCTCTGTTCGACAGCCGCCGCAGCGTGTTTACTGCTGCAGCACTGCCTCTGTTGGCTCTAGCAGAAGAAAACACACACACAAACACACACACACAAACACACACACACACACACACGGAGGGGAAAAAAGACAGGGGAGCAACCCTTCCACAAATTATCAGCAAGAAAAAATTTAATTAGCAATATAAATGCCAGGCGGAGGACATTATGTGCAATTGTCTTGCTATCTTTCCAGAAATTAGTCTTTTAAAATGAATTTGCTGTATTAATCATCTCCTGAAATATTTTTTGATCACTGAATTAATAGTTTTGCGTTGGGGGGCCGTGTTTTTTTTAGGTATTCATTGACATAGGTGATTGCCTCTTAATTATGACAGCGTCCTCCTCCTATCCGCGCCTATTAATTCCTGTGTTGTGGCGTCGCGGCAGCCCGCTGCCTGGCCCTGTATCTACTAATTACTTCTCTAATTGAATTTGCTCTCTGTTGCCAGGCTGTTTTTTAAGTGGCTGTTTGTTGCCGGGGCCTCATTGTGTCTTTGTGTGACAGCTAGCTGCTCGCTGACAGGAATAGGATGCACTCTCTCTCTCTCTCTCTCCTTTCTGTACGTCTCCCTCTCTCTCAGTATTCATGTCTCCTCTTCTGTATCATTACCTATACCTCCCAGACCTATGTAGTGTTTCCAGTATAAATGAAGGAGGGAAAATTAATTAATGGGAGCCGCTGAAACAATTACACGCCCCTCCCCACCCGCTGCTGCCAGCCGCCTTGCTGTCATTGGTTCAAGCCTATGTAGCATTGTTGTGACTGAGAGCCTGCCGCTCTTCAACCGTCCATTCAAGATGGCATGTCTTTGGCAGGATGATAAATAGCATACAGGCGAGTTATTTAGCTCTTTTTCCATCTAAACAAAGCTCATCAAGCCTCCGTCGGATGTCAACGTCATTTCGGCTTGACGTGAAGTTAGGCCGAGTATGTTAAACAGTTTATGTGCGATGATTTCGATCTGAGATCACAAACCAACTGTCCTTAGAGGTACAGTGTGCAGAAATTAGAATGTTTAGGAGTATCTAGCTGTCAGAAATGCTCCCTTACTCACCCCTCCACAAGTAATGGTGGCCTTTAGGGCATACCTGCACACTTTTGGGTTATAAAGTCCGGGAGATTTTTGCGGTGCGTGCCAGGCAGTTTTGGGGTTACCTTGTGGATATGAGCTGATTAGGACAGTTTTTGTAATTAGATTGCTCATCCAAATAAGTTAAAGTGAAGCGTGACACTTTTTTGTTTTGTTTTAATAACAAATGGTAATAAAAAATAATAGCTACGATATGCCTTGAACTTACTCAGTCCTTTAATATTAGTGTTAAAGTCCTCATATGCTCTCCCGTATGAGTCTCTCTAAACATCTTTGTGTGCAATACATCACTCTTTTATCTGAGGCTGCCCTGAACGCATCACTCCGAGACGGTGCAAGACTATCAATGTAAATATTATATCTCACATTTGTTTCCCTTTCATTGAAGTGTTCATTTTGCAACAAACACTATTTAAATATAGTTTACAGCTTAAACCGACCTGAATCATCCCAAATTGTCAAGTAAAAGTATCAATCCAGTGTCTGTGAGGCTCAGCAGAAACACAGGACAATCCTCAGTAGCAACTTTGGACAGATGTAGTGATCCGATTCATGAATGAACGTGAACCTTTAAACTACGGGAGATTCCAGGGAGAAATGACAATACAGGAGGTGGGCGGGAGAGAGGTCTGAAATATGGGAGAGTCCCGGGAAAAACTAGAGTGTTGGCAGGTATGCAAAAGTATGATCTCCCATCTGCCAAGTTTTCATTGTCAAAGATTCCCACCATCCCTCTCTTATTGATGAAGACTCAACATAAAGACAGGATCGAGTGTCATCTTCTAAGATCAGACCCACTTGTAATCCACCATGAGTAAAACACTTTGCATAGACATAACAGATGCAAATGCTTCCACAGGGATTCACTATGTGGTTCAATCATAGACTGTATATACTACGGACAACTTGGCTCCGCCTTCCGTCATTATACGAATTTGAAGTGGGATTGCTCTATGGTATTTATTATCTCCACTTCCTGGAACTACCACTTGCGCAGTAGTGTTGTACGCATTTGGCGGGAGAGTCGCTGTGATGACGCTCGGCTCAAACAGCATATCACCCGGGTGAGCTAAGCAGTCTTCTTACACCCATAGGTTGTATCAAGTGTCAATCATAGAAAACATGAACCCCCTAATAACTTTTATAAAATTTGTCCACAGCCCCATAAGGATTGCTGGAGGAGGCGGGATTTATGACCTATACTGCAGCCCGTCACTAGAGGGTGCTGTTCTCACGGTGGCTTCACCCAGTGAGGAGGTAGAAAGTGTCCATTCTATATACAGTCTATGGATACAGTCAATCAGTAGCGTATCATGCTCAGCTTGATTGTCAAAGCTATGCAGGACCTTTTTTTATCGATAACAGAGCTGAACCTCGCTGAACACCTTTTAGAGAGTTTGGACCATCATTTCATTGACGCTCCACTCGACTCATTGTTGGTTTTCCCTCTAATTTGTTGTCCGTCTGCAGCAGAGTATCCTGAACACTCAGATTCTAAAGCCCGTGAATTTCCATGTGCTTTTGGTGTTGTGTTGTTGCTTTTCAGCCGTGAAGTAGGAGACCGCTCCCGTTTAATCAAGAATCTGTTGATAACCTTGGTTGGCTGCGTTGGTTTTCACTGCGTATCATGTCGGAGCTCTAAAGAGTGTATGCATCTCTGGCATGAGACAGTGAAGGCTGTGTCTTTGTGCTGTCCTTGGAGGACGTCTGGTGATTTAATTACAGAGACATTCCAATCTGCCACTTCAGTCAATCAGGGATAAAAACTGTAGTGTACTGTACTCAAGATGTCGTGTCCTTCGGGTTTGTGTCTGACCAGGGAGGGATGCTCAATACTATAAGTTTCTGGGCTCTTTGTGAAGCCCAACAAGTAGAGATAGGACTGTTGAAAGACTCCCAAACAACATGTCCTCTTACCTGTAAGTCTGTGTAAGTGAAATACCAACGACTTTAATAATTGCATTTATGACCCGTACACCAGCACAAAAGGTAGCTTTTATTCTTACTTAAGTTTGGGGACCCAAACTAGTCAAGGTCCAAGTATGAGTCATTCTGGTAAACAACATTACAAACAGGATGAAAACTAAAAACCTGGCATAGACTAGTGCACTATGCTGACTTTTGTTTTACTCAAGGGTCTCAAAGTATTTGGTCTCTTCTGTGAAAGTTAGCAGAATTTGACACTTATTGCATTAGCTAGTATCACATTTTGTACACCCAACACATGTTAGTGTTATTTATGGCAGCTATTGAAGATTAAGTTTTGTCTTTAGACCAAAATGCCTAATGGCTTCTTTTTGTCACATTTAAGTTTTTACTTTTATATTTTACTTAAAAAAAAAAAAACTCAAAACATTTGAGTTTAGTTTCAGTCCATAAACAGCATTAGATTTTAGTTATTATTTTAGTCAGAGTGATTTCGTCTTTTGATCTGTTTGGTAGAATCCGGTGTTTTCTTTAAATCTTTAAAGCAACATTTAACTCTCGCTCCACTTTTGCTTGATACCTTTGTTTGATGATTTAGCCCAACTTTTTCTGAAACATGATCCAATGCTGCTGGTAGGGGTGTCCTGATATGATATTGCTATCGTATATTGGTCCGATATCAGCAAAAAATCTAATACCGGATTATATCGGCCTGCATCTGAGACCTCCGATATCAGCACTCCTTCACAAGCAGTCCATTCCAGACTCCGCACTGGCACCTCTATCTAGCAGCGCCCTGATCCAGCAAACTGAGCCCACAAAATCACTACAACAGTGTGTACTAAGGTACTAACAAAGTAGCAAAGGAGTAAGAGTGATGTCGGCCTTGTGGCAGTATTTTTTGTCTCAGTCTGAAAAAGACGTTGCAGCTGAGTGAAAAACTTGTCATGCACAATTTTGTGCCAATATGGCATTAAATATCATTCATTATCGGACAATATTGAAGGCTACAATATCTGTATTGTATTGGAAGTCAAAAAGCTGTATCGGGACACCCCTAGCTGCTGGCCTATCCCTCCTACTCGGTGGAGGAAAGTGTATTACACACAGATAACAGTGGTTGGTCTATACTCCACTATTTCTCAAGATTATGGACATTTACAGTCTTCAACTGTGTCTGTACAACGCTTTGCACTCTTAACTAAATCTTAATCCCTAATGATTTAAAGTTAATCAAATCTGTGAAACATGTAACTAAAAATACTGCCCACTATAGCTTACATTTACAGCCATAATTTGCATCAACTAAATGAACCCTAGTTGGCTTCACTTTCAGGGAGCTGGCACATCATCCACCGTTTCACTCAATGTATGATCAGGATGAGTTGTTCAGATACATGACCTGTAAGAAATGATCACTTCAGAAAAATTAAAACGACAACACTGCTGTCTTCAAGGACCTGTCCCATCCTCAACCCTGCCTCCAACCTACACCCCAACTCCCAGCATCCTCCCCTCTGTCCTCAAATCCAATATCCTCCTCTTCCTCATTCCTGTCGTCTTTGTGAAAACTTTTTCTACTCCTCTCTCTTGATATTGATCCTCTCTCTGCCTCTCCATCCATCCATTCATCTCTCCTCCTCACCTCCTCCTCTCTCCCCTTATTGATCTCCTTCTCCCTCTCCTTCTCTCTCTCTCTCTCTCTCTCTCTCTCCCCCTCTCTCTGCTATCTGACTCTGCCTTTGTCTTCTTATCGAGGTTTCAGGGTTTATTCTGGCTGCTGTTATTGACAGGCCTCTCGCTCCATGGCCAACTAATGCATCCCTAATCCCACCTTTGTTACTCAGGAATGTTCTCTCTCTCCGTCAAACACACACGCTCACTCTCACAGACACACACACGATATGCCAACACATAAGTGGGTGTAAGGTAAAAAGAGGCCACGAGGATGTTGATCCCAGCTTTCCATTTGTTGCGAAAGCCATCTATCAATCAAAAAAGGGCCTGCCTGTTGTCTGTGTGTTTTTTGTCAATCTGTGTATGTGTGTGCGTAAGTGTGTGTGTGTGTGTGTGGGTCTTGAGTGACAGGCCAAATCGCGGCTGAGGACGTTTGATAAGCTTGTATTGTCGGTCGTCGGTCTCCCCCCTCTCCTCCTCCGCCTCCCTTCACACCTCCACCTCGATAAGAAATACATTCGACTAGAGCTGATAACGGTGTCAGGAGCAGCAAAGCCCCACTCCAAAGACACACGCACACACACACACATATACACACGCCACGCCAAGGGAGAGGTGTCTTTCTTCGCACACCTTGGCTGTAAATGATACTCTCAACAAACAGCGGCGAAAAAACACCACTCAGGAAGAAAAAGATTCAGATACCAGCTCAGAGTGTGTGTGTTTGTTGGGGGAATGATGTGCGATATGGCTAAGGGTATGCTATAGGCTTATTGAATAAGGTCTTAGTGATAGCACCTGTGTGTGTGTTTGTGTGTGTGTGTTGTGAACAGCAGAGAAAGAATACAGTAATAGGCTTATAGCATCAGAGGCAGAGTGTCAGACTTAGAAAAACACACGGAGTTCAAAGACTGACTGACAGCTGTCCGTGTTTGTGTGTGTGGGTGTAGGTGTAGGTGTGTTGCATGTGATTCAGTATGTAACACACTTTCAGTTTCATATGTATTTTGTGTTTGTTTGCGCTGATGTACACCAGGTTTTTTTTAAATCAGGTCTGTGCACTTTAGTCTTCGATGCTTCAAAACATGATAGTTATGTTGACATGGAGTTAAACTAGTTTGAGCCAAATTCAAAATCACCTCTGACTAGGGCTGGGCAATATGGCCTCAAATCAATATCACAATATATTGAGTAGTAGACGATAATTACTCGACAAGCTGCTCACCCCCTCACACATTAACTTCAACTTCAGCCACCGCTCCAGCTTCTTCAACTTTTGAACCGTCCTCCATCTCCTCACCTGTCTTTCCCTCTTTGTTACACGTCTCCGATGTAGGACAGCGTCTTAAAGGGACATGAGACCGTAGCCTGCCTACACACATCCAAAACCAACTTTAATTGATTTTTTTTGACACAGAATATATTGACATGGGCAAAATGACGTTGGTTATTGTTGTAAATTTTTGGTTTATTGCCAAGCCCTACCTCTAACAATGGTGACTCTAATTTCCCTCAATTATATATTGTTCCAATTCCTGGAACCACTACTTGCGAATATATTGTATATTGTTCAGAGCAACTTTATGGATATAAATGAGAGTTACACAAAGCTACAGAGCCTCCAGAGGTACAACAGTTTAACAGGTTGAATATCAACATGGAAGGCAGGCTCTTGATAATGTTGATTGACACGTAGTCACATCAAGGCTCAAATGACTAAATATGGAATTACTCCAACAGGAAAACTAAACAGACGAATATACAAGACTCACATTGTCCAGTTTTCTGCATCCTTCTTCTTCTTCTTCTTCTTCTTGCCAAATATGTCTTTAAGGTCAGGTGTCAATCCGAGCACAACTGGGTCACAATCAGTCCACCAGCAGTACACGTACAATCAGATGGCACTGATAGAGCTGGTTTGTAGAGATACTGACATGCAGCACTGACAGTCTGTGAAATCCCTGCCTGTCCTATTAAAAGTTTTCAACCTTTTTATAAGTTTTGAGGCAGTTGTTGGGTATTTCTCCCTAAAACGAGCTCCCGTAGACATGGTACATGACTTCAACCCCCTCGATGAGCATCTCCTCTTGGCGCAGCATCTTGAGACAGATGCTTCTCATCGAAACATGCTTCAAACTTTCAATATTTCCCTGACACCTTAATGTGATAAAAGACTACATGTTATTTATCTCTGCCTGATAGAAAATCAAAGTGAAAACGGTTTTTACTATTATACACTCAGTGCTGGATTAATTATAAACATCACAATTGGGAATAACACAGTACATATTTGGCCAATGGGTTATCAGCATGATGATTAGCATATTTAATTATCTTGATACCACTTTTATCTGATAAAAACGACCAAAAAAAAGTTGTTTTCGTTGACTTCACAAACCTCCACTCTCTGACACAGCAGGTGGTAGTATTAGGGGTTACTGTGCCATCATGTAAAGAAAGAACAAGTGCAGCTACAGTGAGCTCACCTGAGTGAAGTTTGGTCATTTTCAAAGCTGATTGTGTTCAAATTAGGTCCAAACCTGAGATGTAAGATAGAGTTTTATTTTTTCTTCCATCAAACTATTCAGAGAAGTTCCCGTTTTTTTATTTCTGCTCCTCAAACTGACTCTGATACTCTCTCATGAATGTCGGCTGATTCAAAGTCTCCTTTGTTGTCAACTCAATCTCGAGCCAATCTCTTCGTATTACATTAAAGTTTGTTTAAACACAAATACAACAGTCAAGGAATTACTGATGTAAAGTTAAACGTGTTTATATCTGGTGGTCTGTCGATATCAATATGTTGGGCTTTCTCATCATGTAAAGAAAAGAAGTCGAGAGATGGAAAGAAAACATGTTTGGCAGAAATAATATTTGCTCGAGTCGTTGGTCCATTACTGTGGCGAGAGAACAGTGACCTGTGAAGAGATTTCAGGAACGAGGCCGCCGCACGCAGAAGATAAAGAAGGAGAAAAGAAAGAGAAAGCGAAAAAAAGCTAAAGAAAGAGTGAAATTACCAGAGGGCAGGAGAAAAGAGGGGTATTGTGCATGTGCATTAACAGACTGTATGATGAAGTTAGTTTTGTGTGACTGGGGGGCTAAGGAGTCAGGAGGAGAAAGGGAGGAGCGGGGGGGAAATCAATGGCAAATTACATGCGCTCGGCTGGCCCATTGTACAGTATGGCCGCTATATCCTAAAGAAGCCACTTCCAAGATGATGCAGCCAAATGGTGGATGGACTCCAAGATCATTTTTATTGATTTTGGGGGGCTGTCAATAGAGGAGTGGGGAGTCGGGAGGAGGAGGAGGAGGCAGTGTGTGTGTGTGTCGCAGGGCCAATACAATAACACCCCCCCCCCCCCTTCTCCAGACCTGGGCTTTTTGTCCCTGTCCACACATTAACAACACGCCCTGTCCCAATGCTTTTCATTTACATTAGTGCCTGGATGGGCGAGCGAAGGACACACGCACAGAGAGGGAGTAAGGTTTTCCATTAAAGAAGTGGTCCGGCAGCAGATGCCGGTATTGTTTGGGTTCGGGAGTCCAGAAATATTTGGTAGTGAGGCAGATGATGTGAAGTCATGTAGTTTTCCACATCAGAACAAGTAGGCAGCGGGGATTGGATTATGAGGATTGGATTGGATGGTCATCTGTGGCCAAGAAAGAGGGATTCTTAAACTCTCAAAGAGTGCAAAAAGAAATTCGTTAGCCATACAGTGTGTTTTTTAACACTTAGAACTCTGCTGGATCACCAGCGATCCCACGCAACACCACTAATATTGTTGACAGTTTCTTGGGAACTATACTATATATCTCTATGATATATAAAGTGTTCAAAAGCTTACTCTTTTGGCAATATATGGAGGGTTTCCAGGCATTTCTACACCTGCCACAAGGTTTAAAATCCAGCCACAAAAACAGGTGTTTGATCAAAGACGTTTAATTGTAAATCCGCAGTGAAAACATGATTATTCGTCATATTGTTGTGATAAAAAAAGATCACTATTGCTAAATGCCACTAATGTCTTCTGGGTTTGACATGGTCTCATCTTCTTCTATTGATCCTTTGACGGTAGTGTCCAATAAGTGGCAACCAAAGATCAACAAGAGACAAGAAAGTTCCCTGCTTGTCTGCAAAATGGTCCTCAATGCTTGGCAACAAGTAAAGAAGAGATCATGAGCAGTATGATGTGGTCCTTTGTCTCATCCCAGACAGGAACTTCTTCAAGGAGTGGCTTAAACAACTGTAAATAGCAAAAAACGCCTGGAAGAATTAGTGTAAATATGTAAATAGTTTCTGTTTTGTGTTTGTTCCAATCCCAATATTTCTTCTCCTGATAGCCAAGACTTGAGAGAATGATGTTCAGGTGAGAAAAGACTCGGTCACTGTAGATTAATGTGTTTTCGAGCAAAGTACTGTTGGGATCAATTTTTTGTTTTTTGGTTGACTTTTATGGTTCTGAATCTACTGTCACATTCATTTTACATAATTTTTGCACCCATAAACTGACAGCTGAGGTTGTCCTGAAAAAAAGATGTGTATATATTACAATATATGTATGTACAAAAAATAGCAAAGTATAGCTGAAAGTTCTAAGTGTTAAAGACCGTAAGTCTGTTTTTATGCTGATGATGTTGTGATAAAAGTTTTAGACTTGAGCCACATTTGAGTGAAGTATTTTTAGACAGTTACTCAAAGTTGATCCGATGTCTGGCAGAATACTGAGCCTCAGTTAATGTGTGTGTGTTGTATGATAAAGCAAAGCAGCATGTGAACTTGAGTCTGTCAGGCAGCGTGTGTGTGTGTGTGTGTGTGTGTGTGTGTGTGTGTGTGTGTGTATCACACAGCGACATGGCAGCGCTAAATGAAGCAGATGTTAACTGTAGGAGGCAAAAACATGACAGCTTGTGCCTTCTGGTCGAGGGCAAACACACACGTGTGCACGCACATGTATACATGATGGTAATCACTGGAATGCACTTGTGAAATGATCCAAGCAAACACAGCAGAGGTTCACAAGTATGAACATAATTTATAACATCCAAGCAACATAACAAACACACACGCAGTCATTTCCACGGACAGATGTTATCATCTGTTGCACAGATGCTGTGTTTCCGTAATAATTATTTGCGTCATTTGCTGAAGTTTAAACAAGACTACAGAAAAATTAAGACATTTTTTTAAACAGTAGAAAGAAACTCAGAGAGTATAGACCTCCATAAAGACCTGTAGTCAAATCTTCTGTGGGTTACCGTATTTTTTGCACTATAAGGCCCACCTAAAATCCTTTTGGCTTGTTGGAGCACTGCAGCTACTTAATCGAATGAGTTAAATAAAGTTTGACTTATCTGACTGTTTTGTTTGGCTTAATGCGCTTTATAATCCGGTGCACCTTATGTACGAAAATAGACGCAAATAGACGCGTTCATTGATGGTGCGCCTTATAATCAGGTGCGCCTTATAGTATATATAAAAATACAGTATTTCCAAAAGCAAACTAATTTCTTCAGAGCCTGGGCATTTATTTCACACTGGAGATAGATGAATCAATCAATCTGTAGGCTTATTAGTCGAGCTGATCGACGGCATTTCAAAATGATCTGCAGAGACCTTTTAAGTCTGCGGACACTGCAGGCAGCTTCGCCAGCAGACTGATATCACTTGTGTCATGTTCTGAAATCTACAGTATATAGTATATTTTATGTATGGCGGATGAATTCAGAATCCTTCTTTAACATGTTTCTGGCTAAAATTATCTTGCATGTTAGACTGTAATTCTATTCTATCAAATGTAAAAACAACATTTTTGGGATATCAGTATTATTGAATGGCAAACAGCTGATCTGGTGCAGGCTGCTGGGAAAAAAAGGTATTATTTGACAAATATTTCGCACTACTGAATTACATTTTCTCTGCCCACATGTAAAATGGAATTTGCAAATTTGCTTGTTGGCGACAAAGTCTAAGTCCTTTCTGAAACACTGGCTAAATGAAAACACAGGAAACTTATTTAAGTATCATCTATGTTGATGCAAAATTAGTCTGTGACTTTAGTGAATGACCTAGATACACTCATTATTAGAAAACACATAAACACAGTATTGTTTTTTTCTTCCATAACACTTAATATTGTTCAACAAGAACTTTTTGAGTCTGACACCTCTGACTGTGTCTGTTTGGACCGTTTTCACTTCTGTAACGACAAGCGCTTATATTTTTTTAATAGGAATAAACAGGAATTTCTTCCAAAGATAAGTTATTTTGATAAAGAGCGACTCGTCCTGTTTGTTTGTTACCTGTTATCTAACTCTTCATGCTGATTTCTTGCTGTTAAAAGCCTGAAATGGTGATTCCATACAGCAACATGAGAGCATCTTTTGCAAGGACATAACTTAATGAAAAGAATTTCATACTTCCTGCATTTGCATTCAGACTTAAGACACACACACACACAAACACACACATGGACTCAGAAACATTTATGTAAACATGTTTTATACCCTTTATGCTGATAATGTGAAGCTAATGGTATCTCTTACAAAAAGGCTCATGCTCACACGGTTCTCTTATGCAGCCGTGACATTATGGCTCCATGTGAATATTCTTATTGGGTGTTTTGAAATGTCACACTGTCTTTATCTTTCACATAAAAAGCACACACACACACACACACACGTATACACACATGTAAACATGCAGTAAGTCGAACAGCCTTGATTTATTTTCTCGTGGACCTCAGTGCGTCGCTGCGTCTTTTAAGAGCTGGTTGTGAAATTCAACAAGTGCTGTTTAAATAGGATGGAGACTAGTACGTGCGTGTGTATACGTGTGTGTGTGTGTGTGTTCAAGGTGAAGCCACAACCCGCTCTGGCCACACAGAGTCTGAGGCCTTCCTGACACACACAAACACACACACGTTATCAGTGAGGTGTGAGGTTTCTCAGCCAGAAGATAAACACTGAACATTTATGACTCCTTCGCTTTACAGCCTGTTGACTCTGTGATTCTGACTTTTTAACACTCTGGAGGCCCGTCGGAGACACTGTTAGGAGAAATACCTCTGTGTCTGTGTGTTTATGTGAGTGTGTGAGCGCATGCAGAGGAAGCAAACATGCCGACTCTATCAGTTACTTTTTATTTGCTAAAAATTTCCCAATTTGGTCTTTCAGATAACATGTTGAAATCATAATGATATCCCCAGTGTCGTCAGAGAGAGCCAGAGATCCACCATCATACAGTCCTCTGATGTAAGAACAGGATTTGCTTTTTTATGTGGTTCTTACTAGATCAAGAAAACATGAGCTTTTGACACTGTAAGTTCAATTTATAGGATCTAATCAAGGTGAATACAACCTCAGTTGAAACAAAATACAATTTTTCAAGTAATTTTTTTACTTTGAGATAAAATGTTTTCTTTTTTTTTTTTTCCTTTTTTTTCTGTTTCCAATAAGAATGTCAGAATTGGCATGCGAATATAAATATAAGTATTTATACATCTTTGCTCATTACATCTTTGCATGTTCCTGCAATAAGGATTGTATGGACAACACATTGTGAACTTAAAATAAATAAATATAAAACTTTAATTTTTCCAGTATGAAGCAACAGCAGAGGCAAAGGCATTTTGATTATCCTAACGCTGTTTTCTCAACATTAAATCTTCAGTGTTTTGGGTCTAGATGTAAAAATGACTCTCCTACAGATTCCATGTGATTACTTAAACTTACTACTTTTTAAAGCAGTAGGCGAAACAGCTTTCTTAGACACTGATGGTTGTACAATGCTCAAGCAGATTTCCTCATTCAAATGTCCTTACTTCTTATTTTTTAGTCGTGCACAACTAGAAAGGTTTACCCTCATAGATCCTTTACAATACAAGTGGAAAAGGACCCTTAGAACAAAGGGATAACCCACTTTAACCATAGAGTTAATGTATTTTGTAATGAAGAACATCTGTGATTTCCTGTCGTGGAGAGCGTAATGTCCGATTTGCAATCATGGGAACTCCTTTTCTTTGTTTACCTTGTTTAGTTAACCAGCTGCTAAATAGACGCGGAAAAGGTGGAGCAGACAGAGAGTAAATATTTACAAGTATGTAGTGAGTGGACGTTTCTCAAGGTGATGTCCTGCAGTAAATACGACGCCAAACCGTGACAGTCAACAAAAGGTCAGCGTTAGAGGCCAGCGCATGACTGAAATTCCACTTTCTACTATATTCTTTACGAAGATGCAAAATGTCGTTGAGACAGAACGCAATAATTGGATGAAATATTTAACATGTCTGTCATCATCGACCCTCAGATATTAAACTTGTCTTTGTCGCAGCTTTTTGTGTCTATACCTGAGTGCATATAGGAGTGCTTTTAAAAGCCAGGGGAATGTCCTGGTTCATTTCCAAGGCACTGCCATTCCCCCGCTGAACCGTCCAAGTCCAGCACAGAGGTCTGAACCTGCCACGATCATCCGTAGACCTGGATAAACATCAGAATCCCTTCCTCTCTTCAGTCTGTGTTAATCAGATGCCAGGCTCAGTCGCTCTGTCAGAACATACGCCAACATACTCTCAGTGTGGACCTCTGCTATCTGTGTGTGTCTCTGCCAGGCTTAAATCTTCCTGCTCCCCCTGTTGCCTCGGTGCCTCTTCACCCTGGTGACCATGGCTTATATTCTCCCCCCCCCCCATATACATACATGGCAGGAAGCTTGAACATGGACATGTTTATTTTCTGCACGGACAAACAACAATACAGCTTGTTTCCCACAGCACTGAGGACTCTGAAGGACCTTTTTAAATGTCTCTTCGTTTTAAGAAGGTTTTCCATTGAATCATTTTTAATGTTTGGTCTTAAAATAAGACGCGGTGGTCTGAGATATCTTCAAAATAATGAGATTGACAAACAGAGCTCAGCCAGTTATGTTAGTCAGTATTAGATTTTTAAAAATTCGACTTAGGTTGTTGGCCACATACAAGACAATTGAAGATCCCATTTAGTGCCCAGTTTGCTAATTCAGAGCTTGCCGTAACCGATATTTGTCTGAACAATCCTCAATAATCTGGTCCAGGTCAGACAGCCTCAGACTGAATACCTGCACCAACCAATGAGAGGAGCAGACTGGGAAGTATCATGATCCAGATGTTGCGCACTTTATGCATAACAATGGCCACCTGGAAATCATGAAGTCGTGTTATTTTAACTCTATTTTGGTCTCCACCACCAACCCCTGAGGACAATATCACGGTGATACAGGGCTTGACACAACATGGAAGCTATTGAAGAAAATGTTCAAAATTTGCTTTTAAATTTAGCCCAAACATTTTAAGAGGACAAACTGGAGAAATAAAGAGGTGTGTCTTATTGGTCAACATAAGAGTTATTATTTTATTATTATTATTTGAAATCAATTTTATGTCAATTGGTCACATGACATGGAAGCTATTGAAGGAAAACAGCTTTTTTGAGAACATCAACCGGTAATTTATTGATGGTCCCTTATTCAACACCTGATGTTAACAGCAAAGGTGCCGAGTAGATTTAACCACGCTGCTGTTGCTATTCACGGTTATGAAGAGTGAGAAGACACCGGTAGATCCACGGTAAATGTCTGTCGACCTAAAACTAATTTCACCGTGGTATTTACATGAAAAAACTGTTGTTGACTTTTTTTATGCGCAAATGTGCACAAATGCGAGTGAAATGGTCGCACTGTCGAGCCCTGTGATTAAGTGCCAAATACTACATACTCAACAACAAGGCTTAGCAAACTTGGGCAGGTAGTGCATGGATTCATACAGAGCTATTGTTGATCATAAAAAAAAAGTTGTCATATCACTCATGGCTTCATCAAAAGATCTATTGCTTTGATTTATAGTCAATATCCCAAAATGGATAATGTGTCACTGATCAGAGTTGATCTAATGTTTTTGGATCTCAAGGCTTCATTAAAAAAACTGATATGATTCACACTTTAATTCAAGAATCTGAACAAAACATTTAAAAATGTGTTGTGACTAATATTTAGGACTATGATTTTCAGTTTTGGGAGTCTTGCTTTATTTTCTAACTCTGACGCTTCTTCAGCGGAAATTTAAGGGCGACACTCGAGTTCAAGAGGTTCAGCGTGTTACTGAGAAGGATAAGAAGTTCAAAAATAAATGTCATCAGCCGGTGTCCTCACAGGCATAGTAACACAAATGTGTGTATGTGTCTGTGTGTGTATGTGCAGGCGTGTGTGAAGGTATCATCCCAGCTCGGTAGCAGCTAGCTAGCAGCTAAATGACTCTCCACACTTCATTAGCGGCGATGAGGTGAGCTGCTCATCTCCTCATTGTTAGCTAGCGCTAAGCTGCAGTAATCCCAAACAAAGGGCCGGGGCCTCGCAGCAGCCTGCGTGGATTAGAGCGCTTTCTAGAAACATCCGAGAGAGATTCATTCTCATTCAAATTGGCCTGTAAACAAAACCAGCGGTGGCCGGGAGAGAGAGATGAGAGGGGAGAGAGATGAGTGTATGATGGAGTGAGTGTGAAATGTCTTGTATGTGTACATGTGTAATGTAGCCTCAGGTTGTGGGTGTGTGTTTGTGTGTGTGTATGTGTTGATGCCTGTAAACAGCTTGACTGGATTTTAACTCTGGGTTAGAGGCTGTGAAATTAAAGACTTTGAGCCAAAGGTTTAAAAATAGATCGAGTTTGAAAATCAGCCAAGAACATGTTAGAAAATTCAAAATCGTTCGTTTGATTTTGAACGATTCTGATTCCTTGTTTCAATTCTGGTACCTAACGATTCTCTATTCCGATTCTTTTGAAAGGCAGGATATTAAAAAAGAAAGTGCATGGTTTAAATGAGGGCGCTAACCGGAGCTCTTCTTTTTGGATGAAATTTCTGAACTTCTCCATGAATTTTTAAATCATATAAACTTTTTAAGAACTTTACTATGAATTTCTCACAGGGGCTATTTTCAACCAGTATATAAATATCAATTTTTGCTGTCAGGTCGTTTGTCTATGAAAAAGTACAAAGTCTAACATTAGTTGGATATTTAAGTTGACCCACCGTACACAGTACAATTTCTTTGCTGCTTTAAAGTTAGAAGAAGAGAGAAGTAATTTATTGTTTCACTTATGTGATTCTGGCTGGTTAGCGGAAAACCGTCGAAGCGCGTCGAAGATGGGCACTCAGGTATTTCTCCTCCATGAATCCTGAGGTGTTTAATCATGTTGGTCATGCACCCTCTTTTGCATGATATAACTGTGTTGCTAATATTGCACTGAGATAAGAGTTCATTCTTCCTGCTAAAGTTAGCCAAACTTTTAACCGCAGTTAAAATGGCATCTTCCTCGTTGGTGTTCGGTATTTCTTCCTGTCGGTGGACTCCGGCATCGAAACTTGCAATCGAAATTTTAAAATTTGAACAGTTCCGGGAGAATGCTTGACTCAGTGCCCAACCCTAGTTGCCACGTGGTAGTGATGCAATTATATAGCAAATAGAGATGCACCGATCCAGTCTGATACCGATACCTTGTCTAAGTGTATCGGCAGATATCCGATACTGATCCAATACTTCAGTTGAGTGAATGAGCTGTATATCTTTCCCTGTGAGTGAAGGCACCAGGCTTGACATTAGCCTTGTTAATAAAAGGTAACAAACTAACACAGATATAAATTTACTTAATATTAATTATTAACAAATAACAAATTGCACATTAGCACACAACAAGAAGAAGTAAGACTTACATGTATTAAAAGAAAAATTAATTAAAAGACTTGATCGGAACGCTGGATCGGAATCATTCATCCAATATCCGATCCAGTTGATCTGTCAATATCGGAGCCGATATCCGATCCAAATATCGGATCAGTGCATCCCTAGAAGCAAATGATGTCTTTTTAAGTCCCACCTGTGTTTGAAAAAATAAAGTCCCTGTGTTTTAAAAGTCCAATCAAGCGTAACCTCAACAACTTTGAGAAACAAATCTCAAAGTGGGACTCTTCACCTGCTCATGTTTAGTATCATCATCTTTAAAGTCCATGTTTAATATCAGACGAGTGTGAATCTGTCCGATCATCTGGCTCTGAAACAGATACTTCAGTTTTTCATTTTTTGCTCTCTTTCTCAGAGTGCCTGATGCAGATGTTTGGAATAATTTCTGCTTCACATTCATATCAATCACTCTGACCGTGAGGGTTGTCCTCTAAGCCGCTCTGTTAATCCGACTCGGTCATTAATAACCATCAATCAACTCAGTGGGTTGGTTATTTTTAAAGTAGGCCTCCCCTCATCTGACTGATCTGATGTTTTTTGGCTTAATTCAGCTCTCTTCATCAGTCATCAATCACATGTTCTGATGCCTGATAAGTAATCAGCTGCTTTGATTGGTTTTGATCATTATTAGCTGTCAATCAAGTGGACAGAGTAAACTATCTTATATGACATCTTTTTAATATGATTTAAGGGGAATACTTGGTAAAGCTGCTGATCAGACTTCCCTGTTTTCATGCAGTGATGGTTGTAATCTGTTGGTTAATAATATATGTCAAGATAAACTCTACAAATAATCTGGCTTCATCAGCAGTAAACATCAGTCAACATTTATTCTGCGGTTGTCATGAAATAAGATTTCGCCTACATCTTTAAAATGACAGCATTAATTTATCCATCCTTCCTTATGGCGCACAGTATGACTTTTTTTTAATGTTCATTTTGAACCCAGGCTTTAGCCCTCTTTGTGTTGGGTTTAACTCGGTCTATGATTGGTTTTTAGAGTCCTTTCCTTTGGTTTTCTGATCTCTTAATGATGAGGACTCTGACAAAGGTTGGAATCGGGAAAATGTTGCAGCTAATCCTGAAGAGGGTCCTGTTCTCTCATATCTTTTTGTACTACCCAGAAACTGACTGACTAAATACATGAAGGCATGCTGACATTAGGGGTGTCCAGATACAATATTAATATTGGATATCGGTCCGATATCACCCAAAAAATTAATATCAGATTGTATCTGCCTGCATCCAAAATCTCTGATATCAGCTCTCCGATACAAGCAGTCCATTCCAGACTCCACTCCGCCACCTCTATCTAGCAGCACCCGCATCCAGCATGCACAGCCCACGCAATCACAACAGCATTGTGTGCTGAGTTACAAACAGAGTAGCAAAGGGAAGGAGTGATGTCGGCTGTCTGACAGTATTTTTCGTTCAACGTTCGTTCAACTCTGAAAAAGACATTGCAAAACTTATCATGCACAAGTTTGTGCCAATATCGGATCAATATCAGTATCGGCCAGTATTGAAGGCTACAATATCGGTATCGTATCGGAGGTATCGGGACACCCCTAGCTGACATGTTAATATTTTGTGAATATACTGTATCAACCCAGTTTAGTATCTAAGCATGCTGACATTTACTTGCATGAACTTAACAATGGGTACAGAATTAAGGTTGGTAATTATAAGATAAGGTAATTATCTTAATGACAAAATGTGAACAAACCAGTGTTTCTGACATTCAAATTTCAACACAATGCAGGATCTTTTTTTGTTTGTTTTGTTTTTTGTTACTTAAATTTTTTTATTGAGTTTTCACATGTATAAGCAAAAACAATTCAGCAAACAGGGTACAAGTAACCATAGTAACACTAACAAACTGTCTGGAGTTACGACTCTTCAGTCCACTGTTCCATTTCGCATTTGTTCAGTTGGTGTCATGTCTCATAAAAATGTTCAAATTTTCCCTTTTTTTTTTTCAAATACGTCCTCTTTGAGTCTGAACAACTGCTCCTGGTTTGGAGTGTTCACACTGAGCCAGTTTCTTGTGACTGCTTTCTTGCTTGCTTTGATTTAAACTTTCGTCAAGTACAGATCTTCTTTCATTTCAACCTTCTCAATATTCCCAAGATACATCACTGGACAAGTATTTGGGATTTCATATCCAAAAACATTTTTTACAACCACGTAAACATTTTACCAGTTAATCACCAATGCAGGATCTTAAGAAGATAGCAGGGCATCACAAAAGTTTTTCACAAATTGTCTTAAAGGAGAGATAATTGGTGGCACCAAATCTCTTTGCAGTCTATGAAACATCAGTTGAGATATTTACCATCACAGTCTGAGGACCAATTGCTTTGGCTGCAGATTTGATGTTATTTTGGGGTCAAATCTGCCTCTGTTTCTTAGTCAGACTCCACTCTTCTTCAAATCTGACCTCAGTTGATATGAGCCTTACACCCAGAATAGTGTGGCAGGGTTCAAGAGGGAACCAAAAGAAACTTCCCGTATCTGCTCTGTTCAAACTGTGTATGCAGCATTCTTTATTAATGAGATGCCAGTGAAGTTGGTTGTTCTGTAAATACGTGACAGCTGTGTGTGCATGTCTTTCTTCCTGCCTGGTTGCTGAACAAACAGCAGCGGGACTGACCGACCACCTCTCTCCTGGTGGTCAGCATTTCAGTATCTTTTAGAGCTCTAATCCTCAACTTTACTGCGTGTGACCTGCACTTTTCAGGGTCTGGCCATGTCCGTACTACAGCAGCAGACGCATTTGGAAATGCTGTTTATGTATGGAAATTTATGCCTGCACTAGCATTTTGATGTCTATTGTTGAAAAGTTGTCCAGCCACATTAAAACTTGTAAAGCATTTTAAAGTTGTGCAATACGTCACCACATAGACTCAGTCTGTTTAAAGAGAGGAGTCTGGTATAAGCGAGACGAAAAATGCAAATTTACAGACCAAAGTCACAACAACAGCAAGCTTTCATGAACTTATGCTGTTACAGTACCATCTTGATCAATGTGTTGATGTGGTTTCTAAGCAAAGGTCATAATATGGAGTGATTAATATTGCTGGATGTAATGTTGCTGTTCTACTTGATTCCAATGATATAAGACATGTCATGATGGTCACGCCCACAGCTTTAAGGTTTATTGTGGCTTTGGATTACAAAAGATTGCGTCTACAAAAACAAGCTTTCTTCAGTGATTACAAGCAGCATATTATCCACTAATGAGTTGGGACACCGTAAAATGTTGTTAAAAACAAATATTGATCGTCCACAGTAGGGCTGCAACAATTAGTCGATGTTGTCGACAAAAATCGATAATGAAAAAAGGTCGACAATGAATTCCATTGTCCTGTATCATCACCAGATGTGTCTTTTCCAGTGGAGTGAGGCGTCTTACTTCATTACAAACTCTGCCTAGAGTCACACATGCGCAATAGCGCCTCCGCCGAATGTAGGGTATTCAGACATTGCAGCGCCAGCGTCCTATACTGCAGCTACAAGTATGTGCTTCAAAACCTCCAAAGTTTGCGTTGGTAATGCACTAACATTTGAGGAGAAGGCACGTAATTATCTGATTAGTCAGCTAATCGTTTCAATAGTCGGTGACTTGTTGACTATTAAAATAGTCGTTGATCGCAGCCCTAGTTCGCAGATTATTCAAGGGTTACATTTAATTGAAAATAGTCCAAAGACAACATATCAAATGATGACATTTAAAAACTGTTTAATGTAAAATGTGTGTGCATTTAAAATTTGATACCAGCAACACTTTAAAAAAAAAAAAAAAAGTTTGCACAGTGACAACAAAACTGAAAAAGTTGTGTAATGTTAAAAGATTCATTAGAGAATCCGGAGAAAGCTATAAAAGTTAAAAGGTCAAAAACTAAAACTTGATAGCAGTGGTCCTCAAGCCCTCAGGTGGAGATGTGTCACAAACAGACATGACTCTGTAGTAGAAATCACTGCATGGATCTACAATCATACCCACAAACCAGAGTGGACTGAGGCGACGGGAGAACTGTCTTAAGGTCGGATAAATCAAATTTTGACTTTTTTTTAAATCATGGGCATTGCATCCTCCCTCCCATTTTCACCTTTAATATGTGTTCTGTTTTCATTTAAATACACAGACAGACTTACAAACCTTAAAAAATCTGTATTTAGCATTTTAGACTGTGTTCCAGTGTCGCTCTGTGGCGTCAGTTTGATATCTGATAATATTTGAGTCGTATAAACTTTAAACATCCCTCAACTGAAATATATATAAAAAGAGGGAAATTTCATGTCTCAGGTCAGACGGAGACGAGCCGTGGAGATGGAAAATAAACCGAGAGCAGACTTGAACGCAGCATTGAACGTACTTGATGTGATGTTGTGAACCTGAACAGTGACCGGAGTCTCAAATAACCTTTCATTAATGTTACTATTTTGACTCAAGGGCAAGTAAAGCAGTGGTAATGGATGTGTGTGTGTCTGTCTGTGTGTGTGTGTGTGTGTGTGTGTGGGGGGGGGGGGGGGGGGGGGTAAAGTTTGTGTATGTGACATGATTGACAGTTGGTTGGCTGCATCTCCTTCAATAGAGCCCCCCTCTCTCTTTTCACTGATTATTGTGTTAGTGTGTCTGTACCGCAAACCCCCCCCCCAACCCCACCCACACACACACACACACACACTGAGACACACACACATCATTCTATACAGACACTCACATGGGAGAGGAGCCCACTGTGGATCTCCCATCAGGCCGAGCTGTGAGAAAACACACAAAACAGATGCAGCAAATGTGTCCACTCTCATGCATATGGAAACGCTGACAGGACTGTGTGTCTGTGTGTGTGTGTTTGTGCGTGTGCGTGCGTGTATATCAAAAGACAAATTCTATTTGAAATGCATTAGCATTCAGTGATGATGATGATGGTTTTTCCGCAGGTTTTCTCTCTCTCTCTTTCACTCTCTCTCTGTGTCTCTCTCTCTCTCGCCCCTGTGGATGGGTTTGTAATTAAAAGCGCTCCGGCTCTCTAATATGAGTGGTGTGTCTGTGATTCAGAATATACGGCGCGCAGATTGATCAGATAAAGAGCCAAAGTCATATTTCTTAACTGCTAAGCCTTTTCACACTCGGAGCTATGATCCCCTCTCTCTCATTTTTTCTCTCTTTTATGTGTTTGTCCTTAAATCTTCCTCTGCCGCTGAACCCTCTGCTTCTCCTCTTCCTCTCTTCCCTCTAAACCCGTCTCTCTCACTAACTTGTACTGCCTGCTCTTTGCTGTGCTGTTTCTACACCGCTGCACTGCATCTGTCAACACACCGTGTGTCTCTAAATTGTTGAGGTTAGGTGTAATTTCTCTATAAGCTCAATGATGGGCAGGCCTTGGTTATGTTGTTTGTGCGCTAGGATGTCATCCTTGTTTTCTGTAGGTGGTGCACTTTTGACTTTTTGTTCAGCCGTCAAGGCCGAAGAGGCTGAAACGGCTGAATTCTAGACATTTTGAAGGTGTCACTTAGGTTGTGTGCGAGTGGATTTAACAGGGGGGGAAATGTTACGAGACCATATGTGCTTTGCTGCAAACGGAAAATAGATTTCATGAGCTGATAAAGAAAAAAAATACTCTTTGTCTGATGAAATTATGCAGATGATTTACATATTTTTTAAAAAACAACCATATGTGATGGAAGGGTGGTGATGCAGGCAAATCTTGATGGTTTAAGCAGCGTTTATAGCAGCTTATCTGTAAATTATCTGTTTACCTGTTTTGGATTATAGTGATGTGATTTATAACAGTGCTGTCAGCTTCATACCTGGTGATAGACGTGACTCATCAGTGTGTCCTCCATGAACTCAGGGGCAACAAACATCAGAATTTGTGTTTTTTGAAAGCCATTACTGGCAAGATAACTCCTTGTATCATGAACATGTTGGGAGTGAAATTATGGGAATGAAATGATTAGAAAGTTCCTAAAGCTTGCACTGAACGCTGTAATTTTGGTTTATGAAATATCCTCCTAAAACTCTGAAGATATTTTTGATTTCCAACTACTATTTCTCAAATCGTCTCTGTTTAAATTTACTATTTATGTGATTGATTATAGACGTTTAAATGTTCTTAATGACATTGAAATTCAAGGTGACTTCTTCAGGTTAACTAAAGGTTTTAAAGTGAAAATGTTTCTTTTCCATTGATGTGCAAATCTACTTTCTGCAGTTACAATAAAGTCCCAAAATAAAGACATTGCAGACATTTTAAAGGCATTCCTGTTTGTTGGAAGTGGTGATTTTTAGCAAGAGCATGTGCAAACTGTTTTTTTACGTTCATGATTCAGGCAAAATTCAGCATTTTTAATCATCTACTGCAAATTGTTTATTTGAAAAAGCTCTTCTACAGCCATGTGACTGATAAAAAATATGAACATAGCGAAATTGTTGAGTTAGTGCGCAGCTGGATTTATACAATAATAAGAAAACTGACTTGTGACCGTGAGTCCTCTGCAGGAAATAAAAGAATTTCCAAACTGAACCTTTGAGATTCAACAATTGTTTAATGAAAATAATTCAGAATAATAATTCTTCATAAGGATTCTGCAGCCGTCCTCCTAGACTGGACCTTGAGTTTGAAATAACTTCCAGGCTGCATCTATTTTTGCTTTTCTTCTGGAATGAAGAGTCCGTCTGAACGTGTGTGTGTGTGTGTGTGTGTGTGTGTGTGTGTGTGTGTGTGTGTGTGTGTGTGTGTGTGTGTGTGTGTGTGTGTGTGTTAAAGGCCTTTACAGAGAATCATGTCAGCTGTGTGGATCAAAGAAAAAGGGATATTTCAGATCCTTCTGCAAAAAGAGCAGCATCTTGTTATTTTGTGTATGCAAAGGCCAAGTATCAGTGTTTTTCATCAGCGTCCCACGTGATGATGCAGGCCTCGATCATAATCCATGTGTGTGTGTGTGTGTGAGTGTGTGTGTGTAAGTGTTGTTACATGTGATTGAGGGAGGAAACTGATCCTGTGTGTGTTTATCTGAAGCTCTACGACCTCTTCTCGCTGAGCTGAAATAGGATTCTTTGCTCTTTTCTCCTCACCTCTCCTCTCGTCTATTATTCCCTCCTTTATCCCCTCTCCTCCTCCTCCTCCTCCTCCTCTTCCTCCTCTGCCCTCTTCTCCTCTCCTCTCCTTCCTTCAGCTCTTTCCCCCTATCTCCCCCCCTATCCAAATCCAAACTCTCACCAGCCACCCATGTGACAGACAGGGTGTCCTCACCTTGTAACGATCAGTGACATCCAATATGTTTGGCTTGGGATCATCCCCTGTGTGTGCATTGTGCTCTCTGTTAAACGCTTTATTGATTAGCCATAAGTTAATTACAAATTACATCAAGCGTGGGCACTGTGTGGAAGATGGCAACAGGATCAGGTGCTAAAACATGTCACACACACACACACCTGCATGCGTGCATCCCAACCTGAGTTCTTACACTATATTCTGCCTGATTTCCACCTATTAACATCGGCGCGTTTATGACATTTTACACTCTCTTATCTGCTGCTTTAAGGCCATGTGGCGCGTTTTCTGTCGTGAAAAGGGTAGCATTAGAAACAGGAGGGTTTCTGCAGAGACACCAAGGGTATGCAGCCTGAATACTTAATTCTATCAAGCACAACTTTGACTCACCCTATGCTAAAATTATGAGCCTGTGTGCCAAATCCAAAGCAGACCTTTGGAGGCTAATGTATTCTGGATTTAAGCTCCATTGTAAAATCCATAACACGCCTGCACCTGACCTGCTCTGCCGCAGCACCGAAAACAACCTCTCACCTCTGACTCCTGCACAAAGTTGAAAAACAATAATAATATTAATAATAAATTGATCATAAATTAATAATGATAGATTAATAATAGTTTTTGCAACCTGCAATAGCAAGCACTTTTTTTGCAGCCTGCTTCCTTTTCATGCCGTGTCAGTTTCTCTGTGACATTGCCGTGTACTTTGTGCAAAAAAAAAAAGGAAAAAAGGAGCGAAAAAAAAATCTTTATCAAATCCCCATTCTGAGGCTTTCAATAAGGCAGGCCATTACCTCACTGGCGCTTTTGTTCGGCCTATACAAGAGAGAACAAAATGGTTATTCAGGAGGACGCTTTAGATTTTTATTGTGGGCTCGCTATTCACAAAGAGCACCGTTATTGTATTAAAAAGAACCATCTGTGGCAGAAACAATGGCTTCAAATTATCTGTGAATACCCAGTGAACAAAATATAAAGCTTTTTCCTGCTCATTATGTGGGCTAAGCTAGGGGGTGGAAGATAGGAGAGGAGAGGCATAGACTTTGCTATAACTGACTTTTGTTGTTCTTGCTTGCATTCTTCTCCTTTTTAAATCGGCCCCCTTTTCACATTGTGTGTCGCCATAAACGGCTTTTCTTGTTGCAGGGCTCGCGGAAAGAAGACAGCGGAGCTCCACACAGGCAGCGGGGCTCCACGCAAGCTGCACGCCGGGCCACGGCGCACCGGCTGACGGGTTGGAAACCGCGCGGACTACCGGGGGAACTTTCTGGGGAAGGGTTGGAAAATGAAGACGGTGCCCGCCGCCGCCGGAGTTGGACGTTTCACCAAGCCGGCTTGTGGAAGCTCTATCCCCGGGCTTAGTTTGGAGCGGACTTTTCCAGGAGGAGTGAGGGGAAGCTACGGAGGAGGTTGAGCGCAAAAAATGGCATCTTGTTTAATTTGTGCCAATCAAGACGAGAGGAAGACAACTCCCCAAACTGGCAGTAAGTCTGAGTGCGGTGAAGAGGAGAAGCCCTGGGTGTGTTTGTGTGTGTGTCGGTGTGTATGTTAGTGTGTGTTGGAGTCGGTGTGTGTATGTAAAACATGCAGTGTTGTGGAATGACACCGCATGGCATCATGAGCTTCACTGGCTGCCTGAAATGTTGTTGGCCGCTCTGCTTTTCTGCTCAACATACGCGCAGATCATTACGCGCGCAGATGATCATCAAAGTGGCACTTGTTTAATATTAATTTATGATTTGATTTTACACTTTTGACACATTATTTCTTCTCCTGTATTTGATTTAAATACAGTTTGAATTACAACTTAAACAGAACTTCATCTATAATTTCACCGGCACGGATGCTCCGGTATCCGACTAATTTAGGCTTTTATTTTATAAACAGAATGTCAGATTTTTACTTGTAATCTGGTTTTATTTTATTTTATTATGTGCTGAAAGCTTTTCTTTCATTTAAAACTTTTTAACCTTTTTCATCACACACACTTTAATCTTATTTATCTTTGTTGTCCATGCGTAAAATGGATAATAAAGATTTATTGCACCGTATCTTTTAAACAAAATGCAACAATAAGAAATATATAATTGTACTGAATGATAATACAAAACCCTAACCCTAAAGTTTCCTCAAAGCATTTTAATTTCTCCTTTAATCTGAAATTACAACAACAAATTTCCACTCTGCTTTTACGCACCTGTAAGTGTTATATTGAAGTATAATCTTGGCTCGTCTCCAGCCCCTGATACGGCCCCTAGTGGCAAGAAAGACAAGTTTATTTGCATTTCTCCTGAAATCTGTCCCTTTCACTCCCACATGCGATTTCTATTTTCTCTCCACTGAACAGGATCCGTGATTTTTTGCAAATTTTGGCACAAAAACGAAACATTTAGATTGACTAAAATATGACAAAAATCGCTCAAATCAAGAGAAAAATATTACACTCAGTTTATGTCACTTTCCGTGAGTTCTTGATTTTTGTTTCTCTTCTCGATACGTATTTTTCCACCTCAGATCAGTCCCTTCTCTCTCTCTTATTTGCTGTTTCCATCCAAACCTGCATGTGTATATACAGAGGGGGGGGCTTACAAGTGGTCGGAGGGAGCCGCCCCGCGTGTTTCTCCTGGTTTTTGTCAAACAACGGCTTTAATTCAGGATGATTGTGGATGCAGGGCCATTCCCGGCTGGATGGGGCCCGCTTTCAGAGAGCTGCAGGGCCCCGCTGTTCCTTTATTATCATAAGCAGATTAGAGGTAGCGGGGAACACACTCAGATGCAGATAGCAAGCCCGAGCGGCCCATTTCAACCTTGCATTATAATGGAGCGAGCTGCATGTGTCGCCTCTCGCAGCCTATTAAGCACAAGATGAATCTTATGTAAGGTTGCCCGGGCCGGCATAATGAGAGCACGAGGGCTGCGCTCCTCCATTTATTATCAAATGACTAAAACAAAATAATAAGGCTTGATCTATTCGCTTTCAATTATGATTTAATCTGGAGACACGCATTTAAATTGAATTATTTCAGGTGTGTGTGCTCGAGCTCTCTTTAATTATCGGGGCTGATGCAGATAGGATGAGAACCTGCTGTTAGGAAGTTTCACTCCTCTGTTATTGGTGATATTTTATTTGTTAAAAATATTACCTTTTATATTTTTCGCTCCTTTTTTTGGACTGCTTTTCCTGTCAAGGGCTTTTTTTGGCCCTCTCTTGTAGTTCCCCTCATGTCCAGTAGGCGGCACTGGTGTCACGCAGCAGGACGCCATCACCCACCTCTCGATTGATGGATATTCAAGGAAACAAGCAAAAAAAAAACAAGTGACTCCCAACACTTTGAACCATCAGGAAACTTTATTTTTTATTTCAGTTTGAACTCAGAAACCTAAAGAGTGAATGATTTCACTTTTTTAAACTCCCTGATGCTGTTTTTATCTCCTTATAATCGCACTTTTCTCAGTTATAAAGTGAAGCAGGTGGATGCTGCTGCTCTCATTCACACTAATTGGCTCGTTCAGGATTATATATGAATGAGCAAACACACTTTATCTTCAGATATTCCTCACCTTTAATCCCAACAATAGTGTGGCAGTGGAAGTGGAGTGGAGTTGGGTCTTTGTCCGGACAGATGTAGCGACAACATCCCAAACAAAAAGCGCTTATTTGTGCTGAGATGAGCCCGTCTGCCTTCTGTGTGTTGGCATTCAACTTCACTAAACAAAGAAGGGGGACTTGTGTGTGAGAGGGGGGAGACATCTTGGATTACCTTTCCTCTTTTCAACGCTAAAAACCAGCCGTATCCCTCCTCCACCACCACCCCACCACCACCACCTCTGTCACACTCACACACACACAGCAGCTCTATTCAACTCTTTGAGTTAACTAACAAAGTTTATTTAAGTGTTTTTATGTTATTGAGGTGGGGTGGGGGGGTGTAAGTGGGGGGAATTAGTGACTTTTTACAGAAATGTCACGAGCCACAACTTAATGTGAGGACAATAAGAGCAAACTGAGACAATTAATGTCAACATTTGATGGATTTATTAACACCCTCCTCCCTCCAAAACATCCTCAATTTCATACATTTTAACAACAAAAGCAAGATACTTAAAAACTAATGATAGAAGAGTTATAAATTAAACGGTCAATTTGTGATTTTTTGTTCAAAACAGGACACTTTTTGGTGACGCCTGACTAAAGTTTATGTTAAAAGTTCACCCTTTAACACCTAAAAAAGCCTTTACACTCTCTCATTCCCTTTAATAACTTTATATACTCTCCATTAACTGACACTTTATCCTTACATGTGCAGAGAAATTTCCCCATACGCCCTGAAATAGTAAATATGTACTTTGTGTTGGCTCATATTTGCAGCCTGAGAGTGCTAGTGTGTGTGTGTGAGTGTGTGTGTGTGTGTGTGTGTGTGTGTGTCTCGGGGCAAAGCAGACCCCGCCCCCGTTTATGCTAATGAAGGCCTCCCATCGGCGTGTCATGGGAGCAGGCCGGCTCTGATTGGCCAGGTCGAAGCCATTTATTCGCTGACAGCCCCGTCACATGAATGGTTGTCTATTAACTTGTTCAAAAACTATCTGGAGTTGTCAAGGCTCAGGCGGACGGAGGCGAAAAAGTACAGTTTTGTTGATGCTTTTTTCCGGGGGAGAAGCGACGGGAGAAGTTTTGTGGACACAACATAGCAGGGACCTATTGGGAGACGGCTCTTTGTCACGCACACACACACACACGCTCGCGCTCTCACTCTGACACACACTCTGTGAGAGAGAGAGAGAGAGGGAGAGAGTGTGTGGAGACTTAGCTTGGGTGCTGGTTGTTTTTGTCCAGAGGAAAAAGTTGCAGAGAAAAATCGACAGGTAACTTTTTGCGCAGCAGCAGCAGCAGCAGCAGCAGCATCGCGCTCCTCCTCACTGTCCTGCCTCTCTGCGGCGCGTGGACTTGTCTCCTCGCTTTTTTTCCTCTCTTGAGCTCGGGAGCTCCCGCGAAAAACAAAAAGCTCTTCCTAATGTATAACATGATGGAGACTGAACTGAAGCCCCCAGCTCCCCAAACCAACACGGGGGGCTCGGGCAACACCAACTCGTCCGGCACCGGCGCCAACCAGAAGAACAGTCCGGAGCGGGTCAAGAGACCCATGAACGCGTTCATGGTGTGGTCCCGGGGTCAGAGGAGGAAGATGGCGCAAGAAAACCCCAAAATGCACAATTCGGAGATAAGCAAGAGGCTGGGCGCAGAGTGGAAACTTCTGTCGGAGAGCGAGAAGAGACCTTTCATCGACGAAGCCAAGAGGCTGCGGGCCCTGCACATGAAGGAGCATCCGGATTACAAATACCGGCCCCGGCGGAAAACCAAGACCCTCATGAAGAAGGACAAGTATACCTTACCCGGCGGGCTGCTGAGTCCCGGAGGTAACGGGATGGGAGGTGGGGTAGGTGTAGGGGTCGGGGCCGGGCTGGGCGGTGGAGTGAACCAGAGGATGGACAGCTACGCGGCGCACATGAACGGCTGGACCAACGGTGGGTACGGGATGATGCAGGACCAGCTGAGCTACCAGCACCCGGGTCTCAACGCGCACAACCCGGGCCAGATGCAGTCCATGCACCGCTACGACATGAGCGCCCTGCAGTACAACACCATGACCAGCTCCCAGAGCTACATGAACGGCTCACCGACCTACTCCATGTCCTACTCCCAGCAAACCACGCCGGGGATGACCGCGCTGGGCTCCATGGGGCCCTCCTCAGTGGTCAAGTCCGAGTCCAGCAGCTCCAGCCCACCCGTCGTCACCTCGTCGTCTCACCGGGCCGCCCCGGGCTGCCAAAGCGGGGATCTGAGGGACATGATCAGCATGTACCTGCCCGGGGCGGAGGTCAGTGAGCAGAGCGCCCAGACCCGGCTACATATGTCCGGGCACTACCAGAGCACCGTGCCCGGGACGACGATCAACGGCACGCTGCCCTTAACACACATGTAAGCTGACAGACAAACCGAGAGAGAGAGAGAGAGAGAGAGACAGACACACACAGAGAAAGAGAGAGAGAGAGAGAGAAAGAACTTTTATAAGAGAAACTGTGGACTATTAACGTCGGACTATTTTTGTACAGAAAAATTTCGGGGTGGGAAAAAGTTGTATAGAAGTCTCCAAGAAAAAGGACTCGACACGACTCTTTTATTCTTTGATTTTATTCTACGGAAGCTCTAGAGGAACATAGGAGATCCCCCCTCTTCAATGGTGGATGAAGTTTGGAAAAACAAGAAAGAAAGTGGGAGTCGCAATCAAATGTTTTATTATTGCAATCACCTTTTGTACAGTATTTATCAAAGAAACATTACAATCAGATGAAATTGTTTGTTAAACTGCAAGAGGTTGCATTTTTTTCTTTTCTTTTTTTTCTTCTTTTTTTTTTTATAAATATAATAAACGCCAGTTCTGCAGAAAATATTAACAAGTGAAAATGGCAGAGCTGCGTTTTTTTCACAGGGGCGATCAGTTATGCTCCTTTTATCACTGCAGACACTGGAAAGAAAAGGGACATAAAACGAAGCAGGTAATGCTGTTTATTTTTTATCATGTAAGGTTACTAAACATTTAATTTCTTATTAAGAAAAAAAAAAAGAAACGACACTTTTTCTCTCATTCTGCATAAAAATATAGGTTGTTAATTTATATCTCCGTCTCCCACTTTTCATCTGTTAGAGGTATGACGCTTGTGCTCTTTATTTTCTAATTGATTTGTACAATTTCTGTATATTTACTGTGATATTTTAAGTTTTTATTTCCAAACATTCATTCCCGTAGTTGTATTTTAAAAATTGTGGCCTGTACGCAGAAGCCAACCACTCCATGTAAATAAATACCGGAACTAATACCATCCTTATAACAGTTACAATTTCAGCTGAGTATATTATTTTTCAATATGCAGTTTGAAATGAATAAATTTTGGAAATTTGGATACTTGAAATTGTTTGGGTTTTGATTTTTATTTCTCAGGCACATGTTGAGTCAACATCAGAGATCTTGATCTGATATCGCTGATATAACCTGACAGTTTTTCCGATCATCCTAATACAAAGACTAATCGTGATCGGATGATTTTAAACTATTTAGCTTGTGCGTCGTGGCAAAGTCTCCTTAAAAAGAGGGGAAGACTTTTCGACCAAAACACCCCCAGGTAGAATCTCGTTTATCTTCTACTTTAATAGATTACTCGAACATAAAATTATCCGATATTTTATCATATTTTATCCGATATTATGTTTGAAATATGTCTGTCTGTTTTTTTTATTTTAAACATGGTCGTATTTCAGGCCTGTTTATGAATGGGAGGCATAATTAGACATATGCTCTTTATAAAGTGACATAAATCAGATTTATTCTCCTCGCTGACAGTTATTAGATCTGGAGGATTCCTCTCATTTGTTGGTTTAATTTTAATGAGTGTGACATGAGTGAGTGTGGATATTTATGAGTATTTACAACAATCTAATCTCATGAGCTGCAGGCTTTTCTTTATTCATGTTACAACAGATCCTCGTTGTTGTTTTATTTAAGGAGGTGTGTTCTCTGCTCTTATTTGTTTTCACTCTTTATATATAAAAAGAAGAAGAAAAAAAAAACCTGGAGCTGGCTTATCATCTCAAATGTTCAATTAGGTCTAAATTGAAGGTGAGCCCTCTTGAAAGGAGCCAAAGGAGCGGGACCTGTAATAGCTCCATATGGAGTGAGTGGCCATTTTAATTTAATGTTTAATCAAATGGGACCTGCTGTTTCCCGTTAACCCCGCTTCTCACGGTTCAAGCTCTCCGGTTATTTCACACCCGGATCCAAAATGTACAGGCTGCTTCTCCTGTCTCTCCACCCTTCAATAATAATAATAATAACAATAATAATAATAATCCTTATGATGAGCTGACTGTCTGCTCTGAATTTAACTAACGGTTTAAATCTGGAGGGTGTGTGTGTGGGTGTGTGGGTGTGTGAGTGAGTGAGTGTGTGTGTGTGTGTGTGTGTGTGTGTGTGTGTGTGTGTGTGTGTGTGTGTGTGTGCAGAGAGAGGTAGATTAAGGCCGTTGTGTCTTGCAGGCTGGGTCCCGGGGGATCGAAGCTCACATTAACCGGCGGATGAATATTTGAAGAGGCCCCTCGGTATTTATCCCTCCACTCTCTCTCTCTCTCTCTCTCTCTCTCTCTCTCTCTCTCTCTCTCTCTCTCTCTCTCTCTCTCTCTCTCTCTCTCTCTCGGACCTTCAAGAGGTCAAAGGATCGCCGGTTTGCCCCATTAATTATTGATCCGAGCAGCTGAATTGGTTGTAATAGCGGAGAACACCGGTGATAAACAAAGCGTTTTTTAAAGGTCGAACATGTAGACGTATTTAAGTCTCTTTTCCCGTGAACACCGGGGCCCCTGCGTTCAGGCCCGGAGGCCCCGCGGAATGATTATTTTTTTTCCCCGGCACCTTTGATGTGGTGGAAAAGCTTTTTTCTTTTTTTTTTAATGGTATTGGATGTATTTGATGATCAACTCACATTTTCTTTGGAGGGTTTATAATAAGATGTGGCTGATTTGTAACGCCTGTAAAGATTTCATGTTGACACAAGACAGGAGGTTGAATTTGAGGCCTGAGCTGGTTTAGAAATAGGAGAGTTTGAGCGTTTTTACACCGTTATCTTCATGGTTAAAGCGTCAAAAATGTAGGTTTATACTGTAAGAGCACATAGAAATCTTAAATCTGCAGCCTGTTGGGTTGTTTTCATGTTGAAATTAAAATAAAAATGTGTCTTTTTTTAGCTTCTGAGGTGGTCAAGGCCGCAAACTTTGACTCTAAAAATGCACCCCCTGAAAACTGATAATGTGCCATATGAGTAGAAAATAATATATCAGACAGTATTTAGCTTCTGTGCTCTCCAAATGTGATTTAATCTGAGAGACGCTTCTGTTCAAACATAAAATAATGGAAGGCAGGGAATGAAAGTGTTGGTGGTTATATTAAACCAAACATGACACCTTCATGTGATGGAGGGATTATTTTAGGTAAACAAAAATAAAAAAAAAATAAAAGCAAACCCCCCTCTTTATTATTCCGTTCTAGTAGATAACCAGGTGTGTTCAGGTGTGACAGCAGAAACAAGGAGGCCCAGTTAAGGTGTTCCTCTCCTTTCATCCATCTCTCCATCCATCCATCCATCCATCCATCCTCCCATCTCGCCGTCTGTTGCTCGCGTGTAGAGCCTGGCTGTCGCAGCTCGAGGATATTTGGACTGCAACAGGTGGTAAGCGCGCGCCTCTGCTTTTTTTTTCTCGAGCTTAAAAAAAAGAAAAAAAAACCACTCAGATGTTATCTATGATAACCTGGCGCGTGTGTGTGTGTGCGCGTGTGCTAAAGCCCGGCCTTTGTCACTACAGTTTAGATGGCGAGAGTCTCACACACACACACACACTGCAAGTAGGAAAAGTTATTCTGGCTCGAAATTAACTATGAACGGCAGGTATCACTGTGTAATAATGAGGTCCAATTTAAAGGGAATCGTTAATACATTAATATTATAATGTAATATTAATAATAATGATAATAAAGACGACACTGTTACTCCTGAGAGGTGTGTCGGTCCACGGCTTATTCTCGCTACATTTCTAAATCCTCTGTTTGTTGTTGAGATTATGTGATTTTTTTTCTTTTTTATAAAATTAGGTCAAATGACCCCCCTCACCCGCGCGCACAAACACACGCGCACTCTCACACTGACAAACAAAACGAGCTTAGTTAAGGCCCATAATCCCACGAGAGCCACTTTCCTTTTTCACCACGTTGAGGGGAATAATAAGGAGGAGGGGCGTGGAGGAACGTCATGCGCACATGAAGCTCCTCTGAAGCCTGATTGGTTACTCCATTTGGTGGTTATAGTCCACTTTAATGGGCTTCGTTTAGTACTTAGTCAGATTTTTCAAAGTAAAGGTACAATTTTTGATCTGATGAGTCTAAACTGTGGGGAACAAAACAGGCAACGATCTCCACCAAAACCTTAAAATTGATTATTTTGGCATAATCACGTTTTTATCATCACTCAAAGATTGATTAAAATATACTTTTTAGCTTTTTATATGAGATTTATTTGTATATACATGAGAGTAAAGATATTTTTTTACGGTTTTATTGAGTTTTAAAAAAAGTCAGAGTGGTCCAGTTGTCCCATTGATGAGTAAAAATGTAAATATGACATGAGAAATATGAGAATGAATATGAGAAATATGTCTATTTAACCCACCATATTGTATACAAAAACTCACCTGGAACTAAATACATTTAGTGTCAGTTATTTAATAAGGTTACTTGTGATCATTTTTGTATATATTTAAGAATATTTAGTTTTCCAGTACTGTATGAATTCAAGAAAATGCACAAACAGTCTCTCATACAACGAGAAAATATTCTTGCAGCGACTAGACTTTAAATTAAAACTATGGGAGCGAAGTAACTAACCAAACTTAGATGAAACAACACTAGAAAAAGCTCTGAAACAAAATGAGATTACATGGATATACAGTATTTGGTGCATTTATAAAACAAAAAGTCTATTTTTATTTTTTAGAGAAAAGTCTAATGATATAACTTTTCTTTATGAAATTTAAAAATGATAAGCGTGACTGTCAAGATTTACAAAATAAAAGTTTCATTCAATTTTAGCCGGTCACACTGTTATTTCCTCTGATCAGACAGGCAAAAGAAAATAGAAAAGCAGCTAACACTGACGTAAGCATGCATGGGCTGATCATGGGATATAATTTTTTTTCACCAATAGCCAGAAGATATAATTTATCTAAGTCTAAAGTCACGGTCATTTTAGCTCCAGACAGAAGAGGAAAAAAAATATACAACTGAAAATAACTTCAACAACTCTAAATCACTTTAGTTTTCAGGACTTGATCCCACTCAGACAGAGGATTCAACTGAGCATGTGCAGAGTCAGTACCAAAACAACTTGTAATTCCCCTCTTAATACAGGCCCTGGTCTCCCCTACACAAACATAATCTGTTCATCATTTATTGTGGTTTCCTTCTCAGTGTTAACGCCATACAGGAGATAAAAATAAAGTGCCCGTTCTTCCCATATAGGACTGAACATATATAGAATTAAAAAACTGTAACATTAGTAAAAACTAAAGTGTGTATCCACATATGTTTTTTTTTCTCCTTCTGTTCGTCTTATTCTGCAGCTCAGGAGTTTTATTTAAAGACTCTCTGCCTTCAAAACAGAGAAAGACCCTGTAAGAATGGGTGAATAGCAAAACTGTCAGAGCAAAGAGCTGTCGTGTGTTTCAGCTGCTAGTGTGTGTGTGTGTGTGTGTGTGTGTGTGTGTGTGTGTGTGTGTGTGTGTGTGTGTGTGTGTTGAGCGTAGAGGGACTGAATGGCAGCCAGTAGCCTGCTGATCTAGCGCAGGTGCAGGGAAGGGAAGCGGGCGGTCTCTCTCTCTCTCTCTCTCTCTCTCTCTCTCTCTCACTCACTCCCTCCCTCTCTTTCTCTCACTCTCTCTCTCTCTCTCATACACACACACACTCACTCCCTCTCTCTCCCTCCATTGAATAGGACCACACACTGACACAGACCAGCATGCCATCAGCCTCGCGCTGCTCTCGGCCTGCATTCTCAGGGGCTCGAGGTCTCTGCGACACCCCCCACCCCTACCACCACCAACACCACCCTCCTCACCCACCCCACCTCCACCCCCCTTGTCTTCTTCCCCTTCCTCCCTCCTTTTCCTTCCCCGCCACGTCACCGGTGGCTCGAGCTGCGTTTATCATCTCTGCTCATGGATGCTGACAGCTTTATAGTGCGGGCGCCATCAGTAAAAGAAGTCACATAATGAAAACGAGCATCACTTTAAAGAACAGTAAAGCTCGGTCTATTTTTACCCAGAACTTGACTTACGACAAAGTTGGCTACGATAAGTTTACTGTCGTGTTTTC